TATTTATTCAGTCATTTTTCTTTCTCACTTTCTTTCTTTCTTTCTTTTCGTCTATTCTTTCTTTTTTTCGTCTATTCTTTCTTTCTTTCTTTTCGTCTATTCTTTCTTTCTTTCTTTCTTTCTTTCTTTCTTTCTTTCATTTTACCATTTCAATTGTGCATATATTATTTCTCCCCACCCCCCGCCCACCTTTCTTTCTTATCTTCTTGGTCACTTTTCTCTCCCTACTTGCTTTCATTCTCGTTTTTATCTTTATCTCTTAATATATCCCTTTTATATACCTACCATAACCTCCTTCTAACAGTGCTTGTCCATGACTGACTGCTATGCCGACTGCAAAAAGACAGTTACAATGGAAATAATTTGATTTCCAGTTTCATTTTTCGCTGAGAATCTCCCTTCGGAATATTCCTAGCCAGTGGAAACAAATCTTCTCTTTTCACCCAATTATCCAGAGTCCTATTTCTAAGATATGATGACATTTAACATCCGGGCATCAGCAATAGGAGGGGGCTGTAGATATCCCATAATTCCCCGTGGAATTTTGCATTTATTTATTTTTCTTCCATTTTTTTAAAAATCGTCTGCTATCGCGAAGATGATTCAAGACGATACTTTTATGAAGAAAGAAAAGGATATTTTAAAAATCGTTAACATTTTTTAAATACGCCAAGAAGATCAAAAGATAACATATCGTCAAGTGGGATAATTCAGAAAATGTTTTATAAACTTTCAGCTTCTGTTAACGCCCGTTCGAGATTCTTTTTACCTTTCCATACAGGAAACTAATTTGAAGTGAATCAGTCATACGTCAGTCTACTTACACTTTGCCAAAATTCTTTTTTTTTATTAGCATTTTTTAAAATACTTTCACACCTAGCAAGGCAATGAAGCCACTAAGACGCAAATGGTTCCTGGGTGTTAGAGAAAACTCATTATGAAGAAAAGAGAACAATAAAAACAAGAATTAAAAACTTAGTAGATAATGTTTGACATTGCATTTAAATTTTTAAGGATCCAAATTGACTTTTAAGAAACCAGAAAAGAGTTGCATAAACGAGAAGTGTGATCGTAGAGACTGTTATCTGTCTATATTTCTGAGATGAGGTATCATAATTATTTACACTATCGGATTGTTGTCCTCAATAAGGCCGGAGAATTCAACGGCCAAAACGTCGGGTATATGGCAACGAAGATGAGGACAACATTCCGAACAATGTAAATAAGAAACTTTTAGCATAGAAATTATCAGACATTCACGCTAATCTAGTGTTGCGGTCAAATTCGACCATATAAACATTCAACATTCTTGACCACAAAGTCAAGGTACCCCAGAGCAAAGCTAATCAGAAAAATTACCATGAAAGTATTTATAGAAAAAGTACCGGTAAGCTACATTACGGCAATGGGAAAGTAACTGAAGGCGAGATGCCAGGTCAGGATCAATAACATTGCTGATTCGTCTTTGGATTTTATCGAGAGCCTCTAAATATGTAGAAAGAACTGTTGAGTAGATGTAGCAACAGTAATTCACAAAAAATGTACAACAGAAATATACAGGTTTATTGGTATGACAACAATGTCTTTCAATAGGTAAATAAAATATTAATAAACAGAACATTTTCATTACAACGAAACAAGGACTAAAGTGTTATGCAATATCAATTCTCCTATATAGCAGTAAATAAAGGACAATTTTTTTCACTTTTGAAGAGGATTCATCGATTTGCTTTTTTATGGATTATCAACCTTTTGTAGGTAAAGAATATTTTATACTGTAAGATCTTTCTAGATAATAACGAGTTACTAATAGAAGACATACTAATTAACTCATATCTGGGGAAAGAAGAGTTAGATCCATACCTTTCCGAAAGGTATGTGCGCGTAATATAACGAAGCCGACAGGAATTGGAACTCGGCCCTCCGATTTCATTCTACAAGCCCTTATCCATTACACCACCTTCACATCCAAGCTTACAGCACCCGGCATTCCTAAGCGGTCACCCATCTAGGTAATGACCAGGATCGACGTTGCTTAACTTCGGTGATCATTCGATGAAGCTGAGAGTTGAATCAACAGAAACGGAGTATGCGAGCGACAAGAAAGTTTAATTTAGAATCAGAGACAGACAAAGGTTCTGTGACACATAATGAGGAAAGAGGTGTAGGAGAATTTGATACTCACAGGGCGTACACACGAAACCATGCAACGTAATGTCGGTGCACAGTCTCCAGTTAATCATAATAATAGCCTTTTCCTTATAAGGAAACATTTGGTATTCACTGAACGAACGGTTAAGTTTACTGTCGGTTGAAATTTGTAAAAACTTTCTTTCAAAATAGTTTTTCAAGTACCGTTTACGCTATATACCAGCGTTTCTCAACCGGGGTTCTCCGGAACCGTAAAGTTCCGCAAAAGGTCGCCAAGAGTTCCGCAAGAACAGGTGAGATAAGTTAATGCACTTTTGACTTTTTATTTAATTTCCTATACGTAATATTACTAAACACACATACAATATATTCTTGGTTATTGTAATATTGTAATATAAACATCATCCTATCTAATCTATTATGTTATTGAAAAATATAACAATCAATGGGAAAATATTTATTGATGTTTGTACGGCGCCAGTAGGAAACGTACAGTGAATGGGACTTGTACTTAAAGTTACTGATTTCTTAAGGGACGAGCCTCGTGAAACGGAGTGGCTCTTGCAGCTTGTTTCAATGGCGATGGTTCAAGGTAATGTTTTCTCCATCATTGCGGATGGCAGAGGATAGAAAAAAAATTGTTTATAGTTACTTTGTTCAAACTTTTTTTTTTCGGTAAACAAGTTTCGTAAAAATATATATATATATATATATTCAGTTAACTTATTTCTTTGTTTTTTCTTTATTTTTATAAAAAATTCCTAATCACCAAATGTAGCGGTTTTTGAAGAGGAAACATTCCAATATATTTGTTCACAGGACATTTTGTCTTCATTTACCTTATGTCTTTTCAAAATTTCCAATAAAGGATAACAAAATTAAAAAAAAAATGATACAGCAATTATGTTTTAGTTCTGTTTATATTTATATTATAGATATATGATATTGGTTACTTTTGTTTATTTTTTACGTTTGACTTTAGAATTTTTTTTCTGTGTGTGTGAATGAAAATTCCCTGATGTATATAATAAACGAACAGTACGAAATATTTTAATTAGCATTACCAAAAAATTTGACAAAGAAGTATTAATTTTTCCTTAAACCAGTTATTCAAAAATATATACTATGATATTTACCACGTGAACTACGGAGAAAATAAAAAGAGAAAGATATGTTAGATAATTTTGTTTTTGCGTAGGGGTCCCTTGAGACATCTGATTTATCTTTAGGATTACGCAAGAGTAAAACGATGGAGAAACGCTGCTATATATATATATTGTCTTCATCTTTATTGTCACATTCACGACGTTTCGGCCGTTAAACGCTCCGGCCTTTCTCAAGTGATATATGTTGGAATTTCGAACCGAACCTTTTATTTCGCCCATTGGGTAGATAGTTCTAGTTCCACTTGACATGCCTTTTTTTTTTTCGATATTTCAGTTTCAGATATTTCCCTTTAGTAATTAAACTTCAACCAAAGCTTCTTTTTTTTTTCCAATCGGCCAGTGTATGAATTTTTGTGACATATAAATCTAATGTTTCAACAACCATTTTTACCAGAGCTCATATTACAATTTGGCATTTTTGCTTTTTCTCTAGCACTCCGTATTACCGGTTCCCATATTGTATTCATGTCTATGCTTGGTCGGCTTAGGAAATTTTTACGGCATAGCATATGCGCTGATTCCTTCAGTTTTCGTATTTTCCAGTTATGTTCTCTGTTTATTATTGCTAATTGTAATAGTTATTTCTAATATTGATAAATTCGGGAAGTATTATGTAAAGTGAACATCCTGATTATGTCATTTTTTTCTCTTCTAGATACATATACCATCCATTTTAGTTGTTGCTGCTGTATGGAAGTCTTCAAGGGGAGATTTTTATGCTATTTAATACAGTTCTTTGTTAGCAATTGTGTAGCGCCAGTCTGTGACATCTGCTGAAGGATAGTCTCCCTTAAGATCTGAAGGGTTCATTTGCTTGAAGCCAATTTAAATGAAGGATCTGAAAAAATAGTTTTATATATGGTTGGAAATTTAAACCGAACCCCTTATTTTGTCCACCTGGGTAGATTATTCTAGTTTCACGTGTCATGCCTCTTTGGGATGTCTCAGTTATCTCCCTTTAAGTTTTCTCTTTTCGCTAGGTATTGAACAGACAATTCTTTGGGTCGAGTCACTTTTTTCAACCAACGCTTTTATTCATTAGACCATGTATCCTTAAGGGCACCAGTGAATAAATCTTTGAGACTTATAAACTTAATGGCTCAGTATTTATTTATTTATTTATTTTTTTTACTAGAACTCATATTGCAATTTTGTTTTTATTATTGCTTTTCTTTAGCTTTCCCTATTACTGGTCCCCATATTGTATTCATTTCTATGCTTGGAGTTTTTTGTCGCCTGGCATATGTGCTGATTCCTTAAATTTTCGTATTTTCCAGTGACGTTCTCTGTCAACCTCATCTCACAGGTGGCGGTGATCTCAATTTTTCTGAAATGTTCATTTGCTTGAAGCCAATTTTAATCAAGTATATGTTAAAATAGTTTTATATAGCTGATAGTTTACACCAGTAGTTCTTAAACTTTTTGAGACACGGACCCCTGAGCCACGGAACTCTTGAGCCACGTACCAACTTGAACCACGGACCCCTTGAGCCACGGACCCCTTGACCCACGGACCAACTTGAACCACAGACCCCTTGAGCCACGGACCCTTTGAGCCACGTACCACCTTGAACCACGGACCCCTTGAGCCACGGACCCCTTGAGCCACGGACCAACTTGAACCACGGACCCCTTGAGCCACGGACCCCTTGAGCCACGGACCAACTTAAACCACGGACCCCTTCAGACACGGACCCCTTGAGCCAAGAACCAACTTGAACCACGGACCCCTTGAGCCACGGACCCCTTGAGCCACGGACCAACCAGACCACAGACCCCTTGAGCCACGGACCCCTTGAGCCACGTTTGAACCACGGACCCCTTGAGCCACGGACCCCTTGAGCCACGGACCAGCTTGACCACGGACCCCTTGAGCCACGGACCCCTTGAGCCACGGACCAACCTTAAACCACGGACCCCTTCAGACACGGACCCCTTGAGCCAAGAACCAACTTGAACCACGGACCCCTTGAGCCACGGACCCCTTGAGCCACGTACCACCTTGAACCACGGACCCCTTGAGCCACGGACCCCTTGAGCCACGGACCAACTTGAACCACGGACCCCTTGAGCCACGGACCCCTTGAGCCACGGACCAACTTCCACGGACCCCTTCAGACACGGACCCCTTGAGCCAAGAACCAACTTAAACCACGGACCCCTTGAGCCACGGACCCCTTGAGCCACGGACCAACTTGAACCACGGACCCCTTGAGCCACGGACCAACTTGAACCACGGACCCCTTCAGACACTGGATACTATAAGAACTATCCCTTGATAGATTGATAGACAGACAAACCAAACAGATATTTACAGTCAGACTGATCTTTCACAACACCTAGATGTGCATTTTTCCATGCTGCAACCTCATGCACACTGCACATGCATCACTTGGAAGAAATTGTGATCAAGCCAAGCTTGAAAGAAATGGCGGTCAATTAATTCTCACCATTATATGAAAAGATAATCAAGCCGTGATAAACTGTGGGAAATGGGAATTATCACTTGATCTTAAGAAGTGGCAAAAGACAGCGGTCGTGCAGAAATTGACACACGTTAACCTGAACCCAATAGCAAGTGAAGTGACGCCTAGCGGTCGACAACTAGACTGTCCTGTGAACAAATATATTGGAATGTTTCCTCTTCAAAAATCTCCAATTAACAGGAGATAACTGATAACTGACATCCATTAAACACGTCACGTGGAACTAGAACTCGACCCAGTGAGGGAAATAAAGGATTCAAATCGATATTCCAACCACCTGAAGAAGGCCGGAGCGTACAACGGCCGAAACTTTGTGATAAATATGGCGACAAGGATGAAGTCAACAGTCCGAATAAAATAAATAATGTACATAATACCTCATCTCAGAAATATAGACAGATACTGAAGGGCCGAAACGTTGTAATAAATATGGCGACAAAGATGAGACAATAGTCCGAATAATGTAAATAGTGTACATAATACCTCATCTCAGAAATATAAACAGATACTGAAGGGCCGAAACGTTGTAATTAATATGGCGACAAAGATGAGGACAATAGTCCGAATAATGTAAATAGTGTACATAATACCTCATCTCAGAAATATAGACAGATACTGAAAGGCCGAAACGTTGTAATATATATGGTGACAAAGATGAGGACAATAGTCCGAATAATGTAAATAGTGTACATAATACCTCATCTCAGAAATATAGACAGATACTGAAAAGCCGAAACGTTGTAATAAATATGGTGACAAAGATGAGGACAATAGTCCGACTAATGTAAATAGTGTACATAATACCTCATCTCAGAAATATAGACAGATACTGAAAAGCCGAAACGTTGTAATAAATATGGTGACAAAGATGAGGACAATAATCCGAATAATGTAATAGTGTACATAATACCTCATCTAAGAAATATACACAGATACTGAAAGGCCGAAACTGTTAGGAATACCATGTGTTGTAAGATTGGGTGTATGGGTGGCGCAATTGATAACGGTGATGAATAATCGGAGAGACGAGTGAAAATTCCGGTCACGTTCGTTATAATCACTGGTCCGCAAATACCTAGGGAAAGATATCACTCTATCTCTACTCCCCCAGATATGGATTAAATAGTAGAACTTCTATTGGAAAATCATTATCACCAAAAAAAAAAAATAAATAAATGATTATAACTAAAAATATGATCCGGCTTTAAATAACCTGAAAAAGGTTGATAAACCGTAAAAAACAAATCAATCAATGACTGTTATTATTATTTTTATTGTGTTCTTGTTGTTTCTTTTACCTCTTTCTCTTTCGTTTCTTTTCTTCCTTCTTTTCATTTCTCTTTCTCTCTCTTTTTTTTTACCTTTTTCTCTTCTCTTTCTCTTCTTTTTCTTTTCATTTCTTTTTCCCGCTCTTTTCTTTTACCTTTTTCTCTTCTCCTTCTCGTCTTTCTTTTTCTCGTCTCTTACTCTTTTTCCTTCTTTTCCTATCACTTTCTCTCTCTTTTCTTTTACCTTTTTCTCTTCTCCTTCTCGTCTTTCTTTTTCTCGTCTCTTACTCTTTTCTTTTTTCCTTTCTTTTTCTTTTCCCTTTTCTCTTCTCCTCGTCTTTCTTTTCTCTCTCTTTTCTTTTACCTTTTTCTCTTCTCTTCTTCCTTCTTTTCGTTTCTCTTCCTCCCTCTTTTGATTACATTCACAACGTAACAAAGAGCACCTGTCGTATTCGCCCAGTGTCAAAAACAAAATCCTATTGTGTTTACAGCGAAAGATTGAGCTGCGAGCTTGCCTAAGGTGCAGGCAAGATTGGAGCCGAGTGCCCTATTGGCGAGGGTGGGGACAGACAGCTATGCTGATATATAACTTTAAGAATGACATTTTGAAGGCGGAGTTCAGAGGAGATGACAAATGGCGATGGGAAAAATTAGCCGTTTCCATACAGGGAACCTAAGACATTCATTAACCGGACGTAGCCCTGTGATAACATAATTTAGAAAACTAGAAAGACCTGTAAAAATATCACGGTATTCCTGTTTTAATATTCTGGTGAATCTAAATTCATCAGTTAATAATTGAATAAGCTGATGGCGAGTTCTATGGCAATAAAATATCCGTAAATACATATATATATATATATATATATATATATATATATAAATTCATAGATTTTGTTCTTGTTTTTTACTTATCGGTAATAATATATTTGTTTTTTGTATGAATGATTCATGAATTTATAAATTATAATTGCACCTTTAATTGAAATTAAAATAACTGATACAGCGTGCAACTTTCGGATAATAAGTGTGACATTACTGTAATTATTGAACAATATAGTTCAGGCCACATAGACGGAAAATCTACCAGTTAAAAAGAATTCTCTTTTGTACAAAAACGCACAACCTTAAAATTTAAATTCAAACTCAGCGTTGCGACCGCACGTTCCAAAACAATAACACATTTCTCATAGCATTTTTTCGGATTGCATCTCTATTTTCGTTGTTCTCTTATTACCGAGAGGTAAAAACAAGAACAAAATCTATTTCCATACCTGAGGATGTCTGTAGGAACAGACGAAAGCTTGTAAAAATTAAAAGTCCTTATGCAACTGGAATTTATAAACAGGGATCATATCATTCATATACAGGTTCGGGGTTGATGTATCTTATTTATATTGTTTGCGAAGATGTATTCTCGCCATTTAAATCATTAACCTCTATATTTGTTTTTGTATGAATGCTTCATGAATTTATAAATTATAATTACACCTTTTAATTAATATATATATATATATATATATATATATATATATATATATATATATATATATATATTCCCTACTTCATACTTCTCCAATTCACTCGCGTGTGGTCAGGTTGTCTATATTATTTAATGAAACGTAAATAATATATATATATATATATATATATATATATATATATATATATATATATATATATATCGTAACTATACTCTGTCTCGAAAACCTTCGAATTTTTTGATTTGCAAATAATCAAATCAATCTCGAAGGAAAAAAAGGTTTTAAAAAAAGAAAGAGCTAGAAACATGAAAGTCTGTCGAAAAAATCGCACAGATGCAGGTTCAAAGTCCAAAGAAAAAAAAACCCGACACGAGTAAACAACTAACTAAAAAGAACTCAATACAACCGTAGAGCAGACCTAGTCAAACCTTGTGAGCCAGACAAACCTACCCAGATTTCACCTATATATATATATATATATATATATATATATATATATATCGCATCGTTAAATATTCGAGCTTACCAGCATTAACAATAATCTTTTTTAGAAAGGAATAATTTGAAATTGACAATTTCTCCATTTCACTGACACGGCGGTTAAATATTACTATTGGGTTGGTGCATAATTATCAGGCGTTATTGTAGGTGTGTTATTTTTATAAAAATTTGCTGTTTTGTTTACTTTTTTTAATAAAAATATTTTTTATTTTCAGGTTATAAAAATGCGTGTCGATAGTCATACTCATTTAAAAATGTTATTGTTGAACTATTATGTTTCTTTTTTCGTAATAAATATAGTTTAAAAACGCTTGATAATTATGCACCAACCCGATATCTTCGCTTTAATTCTTTCTTTCATTATATATATATATATATATATATATATATATATATATATATATATATATATATATATATATATAAATTTAAGAAAGAAAGAGAGAGAGGAAAATGCTTACAAAGAAAGAAAAAACAGAGAGAGACAGTGAGAGAGAGTGAAAAAGTTTAAAAAGAAAAAACATTTAAAAAGTAAGAAAGATTGAGAGAGAGGGAAAACGCTTAAAAAGAAAGAAAGAAAGAGTAAGAAAGAGAGAGTGAAAACGCTTAAAAAGAAAGAAAAAAAGAAAGAGTGAGAAAGAGAGAGTGAAAACGCTTAAAAAACGAAAGAAAGAAAGAGTGAGAAAGAGGGAATGAAAACGCTTAAAAAGAAAGAAAGAAAGAAAGAAAGAAAGAAAGAGTGAGAAAGAGAGAGTGAAAACGCTTAAAAAACGAAAGAAAGAAAGAGTGAGAAAGAGGGAATGAAAACGCTTAAAAAGAAAGAAAGAAAGAAAGAAAGAAAGAGAAAGAGAGAGTGAAAACGCTTAAAAAGAAAGAAAGAAAGAAAGAGTGAGAAAGAGATAGTGAAAACGTTTAAAAAAGACAGAAAGAAAGAGTGAGAAAGTGAGTGAAAACGCTTAAAAAGAAAGAAAGAAAGAGTGAGAAAGAGAGAGTGAAAAAGCTTAAAAAAGAAAGAATAAAAGAAAGAGTGAGAAAGAGAGAGTGAAAAAGCTTGAAAGAAAGAAAGAAAGAAAGAAAGAAAGAGTGAGAAAGAGAGAGTGAAAACGCTTAAAAAGAAAGAAAGAAAGAAAGAGTGATAAAGGTAGAGTGAAAACGCTTAAAAAGACAAAAAGAAAGAGTGAGAAAGAGAGAGTGAAAAAGCTTAAAAAGTAAGAAAGAAAAAAGTGAGAAAGAGAGAGTGAAAACGCTTCAAAAGAAAGAAAAGAAGAGTGTAAAAGAAAGAAAGAAAGAAAGAAAGAAAGAAAGAAAAAGAAATAAATAAAGAAAGAAAGAAAGAAAGAAAAAAAAAGAAAGAAAAAAAAAAGAAAAATAAATAAATAAATAAATAAAAGAAAGAAAGAAAGAAAGAAAAAAAAGAAAGAAAAGGAAGAAAATTCATGATGGAGACGTAAAGAAAGAAAAAAAAAAAAAGAAAAAAGAAAGGAGGAAAGAAAAGAAAGAAAAGAAAGAAAGAAAGAAAGAAAGAAAGAAAGAAAGAAAGAAAGAAAGAAAGAAAGAAAGAAAAATAAATAAAGAAAGAAAGAAAGAAAAAAAAAAGAAAGAAACAAGAAAGAAAAATAAAGAAAGAAAGAAAGAAAGAAAGAAAGAAAGAAAAAAAGAAAGAAAGAAAGAAAGAAAGAAAGAAAGATTCAAGATGGAGAGTACGAGAAAGAAAGAAAAAAGAACTGGAGGAAAATGACAGGAGGAAACGACGTAAAGAAAGAAAGAAAGAAAGAAAGAAAGAAAGAAAGAAAAAGAAAGAAAGAAAGAAAAAAAAGAAAGAAAGAAAGAAAAAAATAATAAATAAAGATAGAAAGAAAGAAAGAAAAAAAAAAGAAAGAAAGAAAGAAAGAAAGAAAGAAAATCCATAAATTAACAAAACGAAAGTCAACTAGGAAGGAAAAAAAAAGATAGAAAACGCTTAAAGTGAAAAGGAAAAAGAAAATGCTTAAAAAAAAACAATGCTTAGAAATAATTTATCAAGGAAAGAAAGATGAAAGACAATGAAAAAATAAAAAAGTACTGTATTAGTTAAACAGAATGAGAAAGAAAGAAACACTAAGCGAAAGAAAGAAAGAAAGAAAGAAAGAAAGAAAGAAAGAAAGAAAGAAAAATAAAGAAAGAAAGAAAGAAAGAAAGAAAAGGAAGGAATTAAAGAAATAAAAGGAAAAAGAAAGGAAGTATGAAAGAAAGAAAAGAAAGGGAAGAAAAAGAAAGAAAGAAATCACCTAAAATCATTAAGCAAGAGAAAGAATTAATAAAAATAAAAGAGAAAAAACGAATGTATTAAAAAATAAAAAAAGCCAAAAACAGTGATAAAGAAAAAAAGAAGGAAAGAAGGTATAAAAAAGGATAAAGAAAAAGAAGAAAAACGTACGAAGAAGAAAGAAAGAAAGAAAGAAAGAACACGTACTCATCATTGTTAGCCTTTTAGCCTAATGAATAAATGCTTAACCTGTTGCGCTTTTCAGTCTCAATGAAGTGGTTGGTGGAATTGGCTATTGTTGTCGGCCATGTTGAATGATCAATCATTCAAAAGGTTTACAGACAGGAAAGCTTTTAATAAAGCCGACATTGCGTCGATGTGATGTTTATTTATGATTTTATTTATTTATTCATCGCATTTAGACAAAAACAATCGCAAAGTAAATATTTACGTCCAACGTAAGTGGACTTAGGTATGTAACTGGATAAATACTCATGTCAACGTATATTCGAGTAGATAGACGTTTACACTTCCATGAAAAATAATTACTAATCTAGAAATACACACATATATATATGTATATATATAGACATATATCAAACATGTTTTGTTAAATAATATGGACAAGTTCTGTCAATCAATTTTTCCGAATAGATTTTTTGTGATCTCGGGACATTTTCCAAAATTCATATTAACTTGCTAGCTTATTCTATACTAAGTTATCTCCTGGAGTTGGATCTTGACCGGGCCTTCATCACAATAGGTAGGAAGGAGTAGATATGATATGTAAAAATAAACTACAGAAGAACTCAAAATTAATCGTTGCATTTAAGTACAGCATTAATATTTAAGCTTACCTTTTAAAAGTTCAATGATAAATCTTCTGCTGTCACTTTAAAGACAGTAGGTCGTTACATTCCGTACAAACAAATATTTTTATTTCATTGGTGACTTTCATTTCCAAGTTATAAAAAATGTTATTGTACAAAAATTTGTCGCAAAAAAATCACATAAAAAATGATTGAAGACAATTGCTGTAATGAAATTTTTGAGGGATCCAAAATTTCAAGAATGTGGGTCCAGATCCGACCCGGGATATTTTTTAATTTGCTCTTGGGCTCGGCCTGATTCCAAAATGGTATGAAATATTGGGCTACTGCCTCAAGAAGAAAAGTTTAAAAGTGTGACACACTGACATCGCGTTTATTATATACCTTATTTTTTAGGAGTATTTTCCTTTTCAAGGATAGTTTTTATGTAGTTAAGTAACTGTTTTTTTCGTTTTTTTTTAATAACGGCGTTCTCACGTTTGATAAAATCAATTCCAAATCACACATAGAACGTTCGAAATTGATTCCATGAGAAGGAAGGAATTTATAAGGTTTGAGAGAATTATTACTACCAAAATACACCCATATATATATATATATATATATATATATATATATATATATATATATATATAATGGATATAAATCCCACAGAATGAAGAAAATATCTGGAAAAACAAAATAAAAATCCTTAAAATGCGATTATGTTGTTTTAATATGAATGAAATGTCGACGTCTGACGTTTCGGTTTAATAACCTTCTTCAGGACAATATTCATTAAAAATACAATTAACATAATCAGTATAACACGACTTGTTTTTATGTCCATCTTTTTCGTCGTGTTATACTGATTATGTTAATTGTATTTAGCTTTTTAGCTTCCATTTTTGAAACATGGTTAGAACTGTGTAGCGAAAAAACATATTTTAAATCAATTAATTTATAATATATATAAAATTGAACTTGGATGAAGAAGAATAAAAACTTTCTATGTGACGCGTTTCGTCTTTCAAAAGGATGTCTTAAAAGTAAATATTGTTTTATTGATAAAAAGTTTTTTTTATACATTTCTAATAGAAAAGAGTTTAGTGATTGATAGGGATGTGCACGTGGTGTAAGGGAAATCGGCCATGAGAATTCGGAGTGCCGAGTTCGAATTCCAGTCGAGTTTCTTAGATTCACTTATGCACAAAATAGAAAAAAAACTTGGGAAATGTATGAACTCCTCTCTTCTACTCCCCCAGCTATTGGTTTGAATAGCAGGGCAGACTGGGTTCTGTAGCCTTGGTTGGCAACCAGTCTACCGCAGAAAGAAATGGTAACGAGAAAAACTTTTTCTTTCTTAGTTATGAAATAAAAGAGTTATGATTGCCCAAGCGTTAAGGAATTGTAAAAATTGATCGGATTTGTTGAAATTCTGTTTTCGGTATCTGTCTATATTTCTGAGATGAGGTATTATGTACACTATTTACATTATTCAGACTATTGTTCTCATCTTTGTCGCCATATTTATTACAACGTTTCGGCCCTTCAGTATCTGTCTATCTGAGATGAGGTATTATGTACACACTATATTTTCAGACTATGTTCTCATCTTTGTCGCCATATTTATTACAACGTTTCGGCCCTTCAGTATCATTATTTTCTGAGATGAGGTGTCCTCATTTACTTATTCGTCCTCATCTTTGTCGCCATTTTATTAAACGTTTTGGCCTTTCAGTGTCTGTCTATATTTCTGAGATGAGGTATTATGTACATTATTTACATTATTCGGACTATTGTCCTCATCTTTGTCGCCATATTTATTACAACGTTTCTTTGTCTGTCCATATTTGAGGTATTACAACTATTTCATTATTCCTTTCCTCATCTTTGTCGCCATATTTATAACAACGTTTCTTTCAGTCTGTCTATTTTCTGAGATGAGGTATTATGTACACTATTTACATTATTGGGACTATTGTTCTCATCTTTGTTGCCATATTTATTACAACGTTTCGGCCCTTCAGTATCTGTCTATATTTCTGAGATGAGGTATTATGTACACTATTTACATTATTCGGACTATTGTCCTCATCTTTGTCGCCATATTTATTACAACGTTTTGGCTTTTCAGTGTCTGTCTATATTTCTGAGATGAGGTATTATGTACATTATTTACATTATTCGGACTATTGTCCTCATCTTTGTCACCATATTTATTACAACGTTTCGGTCTTTCAGTATCTGTCTATATTTCTGAGATGAGGTATTATGTACACTATTTACATTATTCAGACTATTGTTCTCATCTTTTGTCGACTATTTATTACCGTTTCGGCCCTCATCTTTATATTTCTGAGATGATTTATAACATTATTCAGACTATTTTCTCATCTTTGTCGCCATATTTATTACAGTTCAGTATCTGTCTATATTTCTGAGATGAGGTACTATGTACACTATTTACATTATTCGGACTATTGTCCTCATCTTTGTCGCCATATTTATTACAACGTTTTGGCCCTTCAGTATCTGTCTATATTTCTGAGATGAGGTATTATGTACACTATTTACATTATTCGGACTATTGTCCTCATCTTTGTCGCCATATTTATTACAACGTTTCGGCCTTTCATATTTCTATATTTCAGATGAGGTTTCTATTTACCCTTCAGTCTTTGTCGCCATCTGTTTCTTTCATATTTCTATATTTCTGAGATGAGGTATTATGTACACTATTTACATTATTGGGACTATTGTTCTCATCTTTGTTGCCATATTTATTACAACGTTTCGGCCCTTCAGTATCTGTCTATATTTCTGAGATGAGGTATTATGTACACTATTTACATTATTCGGACTATTGTCCTCATCTTTGTCGCCATATTTATTACAACGTTTCGGCCCTTCAGTATCTGTCTATATTTCTGAGATGACGTATTATGTACACTATTTACATTATTCGGACTATTGTTCTCATCGTTGTTGCCATATTTATTCCAACGTTTCGGCCTTTCAGCATCTGTCTATATTTCTGAGATGAGGTATTATGTACACTATTTACATTATTCGGACTATTGTCCTCATCTTTGTCGCCATATTTATTACAACGTTTCGGCCCTTCAGTATCTGTCTATATTTCTGAGATGAGGTATTATGTACACTATTTACATTATTCGGACTATTGTTCTCATCTTTGTTGCCATATTTATTCCAACGTTTCGGCCTTTCAGCAACTGTCTATATTTCTGAGATGAGGTATTATGTACACTATTTACATTATTCGGACTATTGTCCTCATCTTTGGTGTCATATTTATTACAACGTTTCGGCCCTTCAGTATCTGTCTATATTTCTGAGATGAGGTATTATGTACACTATTTACATTATTCGGACTATTGTTCTCATCTTTGTCGCCATATTTATTACAACGTTTCGGCCTTTCAGTATCTGTCTATATTTCTGAGATAAGGTATTATGTACACTATTTACATTATTCGGACTATTGTTCTCATCTTTGTCGCCATATTTATTACAACGTTTCGGCCTTTCAGTATCTGTCTATATTTCTGAGATGAGGTATTATGTACACTATTTACATTATTGGGACTATTGTTCTCATCTTTGTTGCCATATTTATTACAACGTTTCGGCCCTTCAGTATCTGTCTATATTTCTGAGATGAGGTATTATGTACACTATTTACATTATTCGGACTATTGTCCTCATCTTTGTCGCCATATTTATTACAACGTTTCGGCTTTTCAGTATCTGTCTATATTTCTGAGATGACGTATTATGTACACTATTTACATTATTCGGACTATTGTTCTCATCGTTGTTGCCATATTTATTCCAACGTTTCGGCCTTTCAGCATCTGTCTATATTTCTGAGATGAGGTATTATACACTATTTACATTATTCGACTTTGTCCTCATCTTTGTCGCCATATATATTACAACGTTTCGGCCTTTCAGTATCTGTCTATATTTCTGAGATGAGGTATTATGTACACTATTTACATTATTCGGACTATTGTTCTCATCTTTGGACATATTTATTCCAACGTTTCGGCCTTTCATCTATATTTCTGAGATGAGGTATTATGTACACTATTTACATTATTCGGACTATTGTCCTCATCTTTGGTGTCATATTTATTACAACGTTTCGGCCCTTCAGTATCTGTCTATATTTCTGAGATGAGGTATTATGTACACTATTTACATTATTCGGACTATTGTACTCATCTTTGTCGCCATATTTATTACAACGTTTCGGCCTTTCAGTATCTGTCTATATTTCTGAGATGAGGTATTATGTACACTATTTACATTATTCGGACTATTGTTCTCATCTTTGTCGCCATATTTATTACAACGTTTCGGCCTTTCAGTA